CCAAAGAGTTAGAGCTCGAGTTAAATACTGAAGCCATCTACACTATGTAGATGATATCCCTCAGCATTCCCTTAAGGAAGGCTTGGATAAAGATACCCTTCAGGTCTTAAATTTTAAGGGAATGAGGATATAAGAGTTTCTCCAACTAGAGCACAACTCTCTCAAGAAGCAGACCACCTGGTACATATCCTGACCCCGAGAAACCACACCTCTTTACTTAGGTGAAAGCAATCAATGCTAAGTGTAGGGCTACCACAATCCCTTCCCCTCCCAAGAAGAAAGGACATTGCTGAGAATGGAAAACTTCTGTCGGATCTAGATCATTTCTGGACTTAGGTTGTTAGCCATACCCCTAATTAAGGCCTTAAAAGGTCCCAATAGCTGACCCACTTGAATCAACAGGCAAACACAAGGCCTTTCCAAAAATTAATGACCTGCTGCCAACAGCCCCTGAACCATAGATTCCCAATTTAGACAAGCCCTTAATCCTGTTGATAGCAGAAAGGTAAGAAATAGTCCTGGGGTTGGAGTGGAGTGATAAAGCTGCTGCCTGCAACACCAGAATCCCAAGTGGGCACTTCATATTCCGGCTTCTCTATGACCCAATTCCCTGATAATGGCCTAGGAAAAGCAGCAGGCAGCTGTTCAAGCGTTTGAACCCCTGAGACCCATCTGGGAGACTCAGATCAAGCTCCCAGCTCCTAACTTTGACCTGGCTCATCCTTGGCTGTTTGAGGCATTTGGGGAGTGAGATAGCAGATTGAAGATCCGTCTCTCCTTCTCTCTATAACTGACTTTGCTTAAAGAGAGAGAGACAGAGAGAGAGAGAGAGAGAGAGAGAGAGAGAGAGAGAAGGGGAGAAGAGAAGAAAGAGCAAGCAGAAAGCATGTGATAAAATAGAACACCCTTTTATGATAAAAAACTCCAAGCAAATTGGGTATAGAAGGAACATTCCAACACAAATTTATGACAAACCCATTGCCAGCATCCTATTGAATGGGAAACACTGGAAGCATTCCCACTAAGATCCAGAACCAGATGAGGATGCCCACTCTCACCACTGCTTTATCAATATAGTCCTGGAAGTTTTAGCCAGAGCCATTAGGCAAGCAAAAGAAATCAAAGGAATACAAATTGGGAAGGAGGAAGTCAAACTATCTCTATTTGCAGATGACATGATTCTATGTATAGGGGATCCAAAAAAAAAAAAAAAAAAACTCCACTAACAAGACTAGACTATTAGAATTCATAGAAGAGTTTGATAAAGTGGCAGAATAGAAAAATCAATACACAAAAATCAAGAGCCTTTGTATACACAGACAATGCCATGGCAGAGAGACCTTATAAGATCAGTCCCATTCACGATAGCTACAAAGATAAAAAGATACCTTGGAATAAATTTAACCAAGGATGTGATAATTACATGACATTAAAGAAATAAATAAAAGACAAAAAAGTAGAAAAGTCTTCCATGTTCATCGATTCTAAGAATCAACACCATCAAGATATCTATAATACCAAAAGCAATTTACAGATTCAATGTGATCCCAGTCAAAATACCAAGGACATTCTTCTCAGATATAGAAAAACAATGCTGCAATTCATATGGAACACAGGAGATACTTAATAGACAAACCAATCTCATAAAACAGAAACAAAGCAGGAGGCATCACAGTATCAGATTTCAAGACATATTACAGGGCAGATATAATCTGGTACAGCTAGGTACAAAAACAGATGGATAGACCAATGGAACATATCAGAAACACCAGAAATCAACCCTCGCATCTATAACCAACTTATCTTTGACAAAGGAGCTAAAAAAATAATAATCTCTGGAGCAAGGACAGTCTCTTCAACAAATGCTGCTGGGAAAACTGGATCTCCACATGCAGAAGTATGAACCAAGACGCCTGCCTTACACAAATATGCACTCAAAAGTGGATCAACGATCTAAGTCTATGACCCGATACCATGAAATTACTAGAGAACATCGAGGAAACCCTGCAAGACATTGGCATAGTCAAAGAGTTCTCGGAGCGGCCAGCCCTGTGGCGCAGTGGGTTAAAGCCCTGGCCTGCAGCTCTGGCATCCCAAATGGGTTCTGATACAAGTCCCAGCTACTCCTCTTCCTATCCAGCTCTCTGCTATGGCCTGGGAAAGCAGAAGATGACCCAAGCCTTGGGCCCCCCGCACCCACGTGGGAGACCCCGAAGAAGCTCCCGGCTTTGGATCGGCACAGCTCCAGCCGTTGTGGCCATCTGAGGAGTGAACCAGCGGATGGAAGACCGCCCTCTCTGTCTCTGCCTCTTTGTCTTTCAAATAAATAAAAATCTAAAAAAAAAAAAAATTCTTGGAAAAGACCCCAGAGGCACAGGTCAAAGCCAAAATTGACAAATGGAATTACACCAAATTGAGAAACTTCTGCACAGCAAAAGTTAAGTGACAACTGACAGAATGGCAGAAAATATTTGCAAACTACACAACTGATAAAGGATTAATAATCAGAATATATGAAGAGATCAAGGAATTCCACAACAAGACAACCCAGGTAAGAAATGGGCAAAGGACTTAAACAGGCATTTTCTGACACATGAAAAGAATGCTCAGGATCACTAGCCATCAGGGCAATGCGAATCAAAACCCACAATGAGGTTTCACCTCACCCCAGTTAGAATGGCTTTCATACAGGAATCAAAGAACAAATGCTGGTGAAGATGTGGGGGGAAAGGTACCCTAATTCACTGTTGGTGGGAATGTAAATTATAATAGCCACTGTGGAAGACAGTATGGAGACAGCTCAGAAATCTGAATATAGACTTAGCATATGACCCAGCCAACCCACTCCTGGGAATTTACCCAAAGGAGATAAAATCAGCATATGAAAGAGTTATCTGTATCCCCATGTTTATTGCAGCTCAATTCACAACAGCTAAGATATGGAATCAACCCAGATGTCCATCACCTGAAGACTGAATTATGGCATATGTACACCATGGAATACTACAAGGTGGTAAGAAAAAAAATCATGTCATTTGCAACAAAGTGGATGCAACTAGAAAACACACTTAGTAAAATAAACCAGTCCAAAAAGGACATATACCACATATTCTCCCTGATCTGTGATTACGTGCACTATTAGTTATCTATGGAGGTGCAATTAACACTTTGAGATACAATTGCCTTTGTCCTGGACTGTGGAGGAACAGGGTTTTTCCATACTATTTGTTTAACTCTTTACTTGGTATAGGGTTAATATTATGTGTATAAGGTTAACTGAAAATAGATCTTTGTAAAAAAGAAAGTAATGAGAGGGAGGTGGAAAAAGAGTGGGAAGAATCATATTCCTAACTTTGTATTTGTGAAATGCATGAAGTTTGTATACCTTAAACAAAAGGTTTCTGGGTTAAAAGAAGGAAGAAAAAGAGCAAGCAAGCCCTGAGTGTATGCACCTAAGCATTAGGTCTACTTCTACAACCAGTGACCTACTTTTCTCAACAGCTGAACCCAATGACCACAAGATGCCCAGTATACTTGAAGGAAAATGCTCCTATGGCACTTTCAGTAGAGTAAACTGCTGGACTGACCTTAAGCCAGTCTCTTCAAGTTCAAACTTCACCAAGTATGGACACCAATGACTAACAGGAGAATTATCTACAAAAATAGCAGGCTCTCTTTTCAGATTCACCAGATTTAACTCTCAAAGCATGCCACCTCTTCAATCCAGCTATTCCTCTGCCATCTGAGTCTGGCTTACTCCTGTGTAGAGACCATAGAGCAGATCTCCTCCGGTAGACATGATCTGTAAGATGAACCTCTGGAGAGTACAGAGGTTGAATGGTTAACAGTCATTTCATGAGCAGGGCTTAGGAAGGATATGCCAACCATAGAAGATCTTACCCAAGTTGTGTCAAAAGACCAGCCTTATCACCTTGACTCGAGCCTTAAAACTAGGGAATGGTCAGAGAGCCAGTGGTTATACATACTTCAAATACCCTTTCCTCATTGTACACAGATAGTGGGTTTTATTCTGTCCAGGTTACACACCCTGACTCCAAGAATTCCCCTCATGACCCATGGCAGAGATTCTGGCTCTCCTGCATGCAGTTTTGGAGCCTGTGGAGGTGGAATGCCAAAGGGAAATAGCCATAACAGAGGAAATGCCCTGGTAGATAAGGAAGCAGACAAGGCTGTCACCCAGCAATCTCCCGAAACCACTGTAACACCCCCAGCCTCTTGGGACAGCCAGAGGCCCCTACTATACCATGCCCGAGACAACGTGAACCCAGCATCAGAGAGAACCTGCACTTAGCCATCTCATGACGTTGAGAGAGATCTGCTTTAGTGTGAGGATACCTTTTCTGAGTATTCTGAATTTTCTAAGTGACATTTGTTTGTTGACAAATACAGAAAAACCTACTAATTTGAGCATTTAATTTGAAGTTCAGGTGAAAGGAAACCTGTGTGTCTTCAAATATGGTCTGGACAAGCACAACAAAAGATGGTGCAGGTCCTAAAACTCAGCCAAGGATGAGGCCAGTGTTGTGGCACACTGGGCTTAACCTGCCACCTGTGATGCCGGCACCCACGTGAGCACTAGTTCAAGTCTTGGCTGCTCCCCCTCTGATTCAGCTCCTTTGCTATTTTTCCTGGAAAAGCATTGGAAGATGGTCCAAGTGTTGGGCCCCTGCCACCCACATGGAGACCTAGATCAAGTTCCTGGTTCTTGGCTTCAGTCTTTGGCCATTGCAACCATTTGGGAAGTGAACCAGTGGATGGGAGATTTGTCTTTCTCCGTAACCCTTTCAAATAACTAAGTCTTAAAAGAGAACTCATCCCAGGAGAAGTAATACAGAGGGGTATAGGTGTAGGTGAGACACAGACTTTGCCAAGAAATTTCTTTTCTTTGTAGTTTTTTCCTTCCTTGTACTTTCTTTTATAGTAAGCACATTTAGAATTAAAACAGCAAAAGACATGAAGGAGAACTGGAACTCACTGACCTGATAAATGCTCTTTGGATTGCTGACTTTAGGGATGATCTGAGGTTCTCTGCAACAATTTTCTTCATCAGAGGACGTGCCGGAGGAGTGGTCCAACGTGGCTTTATTAACAGCATAACCGATTTGTTGGGAGAGTTCCCATTCCTCCCGTCTGCCTTTAAAAGAAGCTATTGTGAATGGATGATTTTTCTCACCATACCTAAAGTAGGAAAAGAAATTATTAAGGGTTGAACTTCCCCATAAACAAGAGTGTCAATTTGTTAAGTCAACAATAGGAGTCACTGTGCACTTACTCCTCATGTAGGATCTTTGGCCTTAGTGTGCTGTACATTGAGATTTAATGCTATAACTAGTACTCAAACAGTATTTTTCACTTTATGTTTCTGTGTGGGAGCAAACTGTTGAAATATTTAATGTATGCTAAACTGATCTTCTGTATATAAAGAGAATCGAAAATGAATCTTGATGTGAATGAAAGGGGAGAGGGAGTGGATAAGGGGAGGGTTGCGGGTGGGAGGGACGTTGGGGGGGGGGGCAAAAAATAAAAAAGGGTTGAACTTCCCATTAAGCTTATCTCTAACCTTTCCTGGAAACATACTAACAAAAACAGGCAGAGTGGACAGTGAGAGAGACAGAAAGGTCTTCCTTTGCCGTTGGTTCACCCTCCAATGGCCGCCACGGCCGGTGCGCTGCGGCCGGCGCACTGCGCTGATCCGAAGGCAGGAGCCAGGTGCTTCTCCTGGTCTCCCATGGGGTGCAGGGCCCAAGCACTTGGGCCATCCTCCACTGCACTCCCTGGCCACAGCAGAGAGCTGGCCTGGAAGAGGGGCAACCGGGACAGAATCCGGCACCCCGACTGGGACTAGAACCCGGGGCAGGCAGAGGATTAGCCTATTGAGCTGTGGCCAAAATACTTACATTTCAAAGACAGTTCTTCTACCTGCTGGTTCATTCCTCAAATGCTATGCCAAGCTGAGCCAAGAGGGCATTATTGCCTTCAACTGTAACACTATTTTAAGTGAGGATAGTCTGTGTGAGCTAGTTTTAATCAGTCACTCAGAGAAACACAAAGGCTACTCGCTCTTTATTCAACTAAGGGGCTGAATTACCTTTGTGCCGCCTTCCTGATAATGCCTTTACTACTTTGAAGCCTGCAGTTTGCACTAGAATGCAGCGATTCAAGTCACACTTCAAGTATTCTGCTAAGCCTTTGTGCTTCCCCCTCCATCTACACCTAATAGAAGTCGGCTGACAGGAGTTTGCACCTAAAATCTTAACCAGTGTCCTCACTGCTGAGACCCTGGGCATCATCCCTCACAAAGGTGGGTGGGGCTGACCAGATCACGGCAAGTTTCCAAGTGTTACAGAGCACACAAAGTATGGGCTCACTCACCTGCAGCACACTTCAAAGGGATCTACCCATATGGTCATCTCCTTTGGAAGTCCCAGGTGAGAAAAGTCTACATTACTCTCGGCACAAGCCCTTTCTAAAATGGGATCTTTATTCTGGTTATTGTTGATCCTAATACACCTTTAAAAAGAGAAAGGAGAAGGAGCAAAGGGAAATGAAGACATGAGTTCAAGTGCTTTTGCAAGAGAATCACATTGCAGGGATACTGCTCCACTACATCCAGCTCCCACCTTCCCCTCACCCGCCACTCTTACAAGAGGGAAAAAAATTCAATGTTTTGACTTGGTGATCAGTGTGTGCTGCATCACTAAATCAAAGATCACCAAATGCTCACGACACAACTTTTATGGTAAATACAAATTAAAAGTTGTTTAATCCACTTCATGCATAGGGGTTACTTCAGGTTTAACTACATCTCCACATCTCCTTTTAAACCTACGTCTTTAAGTTAAAGACGGGCAGCTGGATCACTGCATAGCCCTAACAGGTGGGAACTGCTTGTTGGTTACTTCCCTTCACCACGCCACACAATAACTCCCCACCTGAAGCCTTGCCCTTTAGCAGGGCGATCAGAGTGCCAGTGACCTCTGTAGGTCTCAAACAAGACTGTCATCAGCTTTTCTGCAAAGTCTTCTATTTGTTGCTTACTCAGTTTGTCATGTTTTTTTACCAGTTTTGTGAGAAAGAAAACTGTTGTTGCAATTTCATCTCTCATGATTTGAGGAAATTCTAAGAGGAGACCTGAGAACATTAAAAGAAAAAGAAATTACATAGAAACAAGGGCTTAACCTACTGTCAGTATTATTGCCCTTTGGAATTTTTATTTGCCTCAAGTGTAAAACAGAAGTAATTTGCTTGAAGAAGTATTTAGTGAACTAAAAAGCCCATCAACACCATCAATAAATGAGACAGCTAAGAACACCAATTCCTTGCATAACCAAACTTAAAGGTTTCAAAAAACAAAATCCTTTAGATACACTTAAACAACAAGAACATTACACAGCTTAAAAAGAAGAAGAACTTGATACAGAAAGTAAAACACACCAAGCACCATTTTTAAGAACATATTTAGGCTGGCGCCGCGGCTTACTAGGCTAATCCTCTGCCTTGCGGCACCGACACACCAGGTTCTAGTCCCAGTCGGGGCGCCGGATTCTGTCCCGGTTGCCCCTCTTCCAGGCCAGCTCTCTGCTGTGGCCCGGGAGTGCAGTGGAGGATGGCCCAAGTCCTTGGGCCCTGCACCCGCATGGGAGACCAGGAGAAGCACCTGGCTCCTGGCTTCGGTTCAGTGCGGTGCGCCGGCCGCAGCGCACCGGCCGTGGCGGCCATTGGAGGGTGAACCAACGGCAAAAAGGAAGACCTTTCTCTCTGTCTCTCTCTCATTGTCCACTCTGCCTGTCAAAAAAAAAAAAAAAAAACAGAAGAAGAAGATTTATCAAATACATAGCGTACTTGCCAGCAAAAGCTCTTCAGCTCCAACAAAACACGGGCCAGAGGTAGAAGATCAACTGCACTACACTTCGTGTTTCTAACTCTCAACCCTGCCTGCTTGAGGAGTTTTTGGGCTGAGGTTTATATAAGCACAGGCCTAATTGCTGATTGGTGGCGTCACCTGCCACAGGTGTTGTCTGTTAGGATAATCACATACAGCTTTAACCAGGTCTCCATCAGATGGCTCCTTGGGATATATAGTGTTAGATGCTAAAAAAGTGCTTAAAGATTTTTCATTCTGGATTTACAACTTCTATTTTGCTAACTAAACCTCATCTTTTATGACATAGAATGAGAAGGAAGCCTTCTTCATCCATATACTAATATCCTACATTCCAGTAATTTCACCTCTAATTCTGTCAATATATTAAGTAGTTTTGTCTTGTATCCTTTGAACAGTCATTATGGTTTTTCTACACACACTTTTTACTAAAATGTTTATTTATGGAATAAGCAAAAGAGATATGAGTTTCAGTCTGAGAGATCTGAGAATTGATCTCACTGATTCTCACAGAGAGGGTCAATGCCCAACTTAGTTAGATTCACTGAATCCAAATGTAGATTCTCACACCTTACCCCATATCTGCTGAAGCGATTCTTTTAAAGGTAAGGCCTGGGAGTCAGTATTTAATAAGTTCCCCTAGGTGACTTTTTTTACACTGAGTATATTGTTATTTTAATATTATTTGATGTTTTACAACTATTTGAAATGCCAAAGTTGTTTTTTATAATTTATTTTTAATTGACACAAAATAATTACACATAGTTATACAGGGTAGTATAATTCAATAGATGTATACAACGTGCAATGATCAAATCATGGTAGTAAGCATCCCATCTCCTTAGAAGGTTTTTCACCCCCAGGGTAATTCTTACACCCATTAATATTTAAGAAACGTCACACCTGCCATACCTATAGATTTAACATCCACAATTACTGGTCATTCCATTTCTTGGCCAGTGAAAAGAATTTCACTTTCCTCCAAGGAAAGCCATTTCATTTCTAAAAATCTCCAAATACTAGTTACTCCTTTCATCCACTGGGGAGCCAAATCCAACTTTCTGATTCTGTGTATGGAGCCTTGTTTTCCCCTCTGGAACTATACTGATTATATTGAATCTTCCAGAATAGGATGATGTTTCCAATACTAGAAAGTCAGCCTCCCCTGAGTCTTCCTTTTTTAGAGGCTAAATATTCTTAGCTTTCTACCAATTCTTCCTATGGACATGTTACTCAGCTCATCTGCTGGGAACTAGAAGATGAGTTTAGATGAGTTTCAGGTGTGTCAGTAATCCCCCTGTGACGTATGGGGCCAGACATGCACACAATTCTTCCGGTGCGCTGCACCAGTAAAGATAAGCATGGTCCAGTCCCTCGCTCTCTCTGAATGCTGTAGTCTGGGACACATCCTCAGGTGGCATTCACATTTTACTGGCAAGTACTCTTTTCATTAATGTATTCTTTTGTCACAACTTTCCTTTCCTGCATAGTATACTAGTCAAGAAGATTGTCTTTGGAATCAGACAGACCTAGGTATGGATTGCAGCTTCACAATGAACTTGCTCAGCTTCCCTCTGCAACTTTCAGGTTCCTAAAAACTGTGAGCGAGAGGTACAACAGCAGCCTCACAGGGTTTTTATCAAGATTACAATAGATAATTAAAACACCTGGTCTTGAGCCTATAGGAAGGCAGTACAGTAGAGTAATTAAGAAATCATCTATGAAATCAACAGGAGGGATGCTGCTCAGTCCTCCAGCTTACTAACAATGGGAAGTTTTCTTAAGCTCTCTAATCTTCAAGATTTGCATCTTTGAAAAGGAAATGAGAAATGTATCTATGAGGGCTATGGATTTTTTAAAAGATTTACCTAGCAGTATTTAAGCAGAGTTGCAGTACTTGGACCATCTTCTTCCACTTTCCAGGCACATTAGCAGGAGCTGGATCAGAAGTGGAGCAGCCATAACTCAGCATCTCAAGCAGTGGCATAAACATTGCACCAGAAGGCTAGCCTCGGCTTTGGAATTAGACGGCTGGCATTGGATCCTAACTCGATTGACTGTCATTTAACTTCTCTGTACCTCAATTTCTTCAGCTATATAAAGGAGGTAACAGTGCCCACTTTGTAGAGTTGTTATGAGAATCAATGAGGACACTGGCATTGTGGCGTTGCAGGTAAAGCTGCTGCCTGTAATGCTGGCATCCCATTCCGGTGCTGGTTCAAGTCCCAGATGCTCTACTTCCAATCCAGCTCCCTGCTAATGCATCTGGGAAAGTGGCAGAAAATGGCTGAAGTCCTTGGGCCCCAACACCCACATGGGAGACCCAGCAGAAGCTCCTGGCTCCTCGCTTCAGCCTGGCCTACCCCTGGCTCTTGCAGCCATTTGGGGAGTGAAGCAGCAGATGGGAAATCTCTCCCTGTCTCTCTCCTTCTCTCTTTCTGCTACTATACCTTTCAAAAAAGTTTTTTAAAAAATAAACCTTTTTTAAAAAAGAGAGAGAATTGTGTGACTTTCCTAGAACAACACCTGGTACTCAGGAAATACTCTATCAATGTTAGATATTACCATCACCAGTGTCACTACTGATATTATCTTACAGAATTTTTTAGTCAATATTAACTGATAAAACTAGAAGTAGGCATTTGGCCTAGCAGTTGAGACATCACTTGGGGCACTGGCATCTCATATTTGAGTGCTTAGGTTCAAGTCCTGGCTCCACTCCCAATTCCATCTTCCCATTAATCCACACCCTGGGAGGCAGCAGGTGATGGACTTAGGTACTTGAGTTCCTTCTACTCCCATGAACTAGATTGAGTTGCTGGCTACCAACTTCAGCCTGGCCCAGCTCTGACTGTTACTGGCATATGGGGAGTGAACCAGTAGATGGCAGATCGATCTCTCTTTCCCTCTCTCCCCTCTACTTCCTTCTCCTTTTCTGAAAATTATATTATATAAAGAACTTAACACAGTGCCTGGCCTGGAGTAAGTGCTCAAAAAGTGGTTTTTCTTATCAATAAGCATAAGTCAATGATTTATATTTATAATTTTATTATAAGTAATTTCTAATGCTGGGGGGATTAAGTGGACTATAAAACAACTACACATTTCAGCTATACTTATTCTTCATTGTGTTAAATTTAGACCATTGATACAGGGAATCAATACTATTGGTAGCCCTGATTTTGTCTTCCAGTAAATTCTCATCTTTTTGGTTTCCTGGCATCCATAAATTTGATAAAAAAAAAAAAACTGTATTTGTCCTCAAACAAATAATGTAGAAACAAATTGAATAGGAAAAAGATAAAAGCAGGAGCTTTGGAAAAATCTTAGATCTTGCTTCAGATTTGTGTTCTTTTAGTACAGTCACTTCACTTCAACCAATTAATTATATTATATAGTATAAAGCTAGTCAATGTTGGGAAAATATTCACCATGCTGAAATCTGCAAGCAATGTTCCTTTAATCTACCAATAGAGTAACCATATCATAAAAGATAGTTTAATCTTAATATGCCTTGTTTCTTGGTAGTCCATACTAGTACAAGTAACCCCAAGTTCCACAACACTCAGAAGCCATGTGTTTGGGGCCAGCATTGTGGCACAGCAGGTTAAGCCACCACCTGTGATGCCAGCATCCCATATGGGCGCTGGTTCAGATCCTGGCTGCCCCACTTCTGATCCAGTTCCCTGTTAATGGCTTGGGAAAGCAGCAGAAGACCACTGAAGTGTTTGGGCCCCTGCTGCTCAAGTGGAAAACTGGATGAAGCTCCTGGCTTCCATCTGGCCTAGCTCTGGCCATTGGGATATAGTCTAAAGTTAGATTTCAGGATTTTTTCTTAAAGTCATTCTGAGTAATATTAGTATTACTACTTGAAACTATCACATGAATATATAGAAATAGGCAGAGAGAACAGATTTCAAGAAAGAACAATCAAATAGAAACTAAACATCATGCAAGACTTCCTTCAGTTACTTATTTATGGTGACTTTAAATACTTTAAGAATATTAGAATTTAGCAAATATTAATGCTATGAACTAACATTTTCAACGTAAGGAAAAGGGCTGAGGATGTAAGAGAAAGGGATAAAAATGTAAAATCAAAGAAAAATTAAAGCAAAAATCCAGCAGTGTTTAATTTGAAATGGCAATATTAATGTGACTTTATGATTTTTCTCTTTTCAAAAAATATATATAATATTTTAGTTCTGTTCACCTGAAAAGGCCTAGAATCTACAAGCAAGAAGCAAAT